TTACTCTCGTCGGACCATAGGGCTCTGCGGAGCGCGGATTGAGAACCTCTGAATTGTGGTGCCTATGTGGTACACGACGGTGGAGTATATACGACGACGTGCGGGAAATTCGTTGGTCGATTATGTTGGTGCCGCGTGGGAGAGATGCGCGTCAACGGCAAGACTTGTACGCTCGCGTTTTTTTCAAGGGTCTCTTCTCCGCGGCGGTAATGATGTTATGCTATTGTTCGTGCTCTATTCGATGTGTTCATCACGAAATGCGCGCGCCGACGTAATATTATTTGTTCAATATACGTGCAATTAGTTTTTATGTATTGATGTTTCGCGTGCCAGAACAAATATGCGATTTCCCGTTACAGAGACGACCATCGACGGGATTAATCCGGGCAAAATAATAGTAATAATAAAGAAAAAACTGGTTTGCGGGCCGGTCTAAAGACGTGTAGAATAAGTCGGAATAAGAGACGGTACTCGTTATTATAATTTATTCACAGCTCGTACCATGAAAACATAAACTACAATATATATTTATTTATATGCAATAATCGTATGTATGTGAGTTTACGGTGTATAACGGGGCTCGCGTATGTGTTGTAAAACCGAACTAAAAAAAAATTGTGTCAGACGATTATATCGGTTTTTTCTGAATTTTGTTGCCGTTTGGGTTGAAAGCATTCGTTTAAGTGCGCTATTACCGTCTGAACTACTGTTACGCGTATATGTTATTGATTTGAACAATATAATATAACAACATAAAGAATATATCTATCTGAATATAAGTATAGTATCTTCCAGAGGTATTTTTTTTCTCGTTAACAATTCTATTGCTTTAAAAACAACTTAAACTTTCAACAGCCGTGGTTTTCAACGTGTATAAAATGTATAATTAAGATATGTACGGCATATGTTATTAATACCAATTCATTAAGTATCTTAAAATAGAACATTCTACTGGACTCTTTTCGTTTGAGATAAAATTAATAAACAAGTGAATATATTTATGCGCGTATGGATGGTTTTTTCAAATGCGTCGTTGCGTTCATAATTCAACTTCAAAAGAACATAGTTCCATTAATTTTTATTTTTCTTGAGCTTCATGAGATTTTAGTGTAGTATGAATATTTTCACACATAGTTTCGGGTATATTTGATTTTTTTTTCCCTAGATATTTCCATGTGTCCAGTGATAAAATATTGTTCGATATTGAAACGAACGATATTCGTAGTAACGTTTATGGAACGTATGAGCATAAAGTATGAACTAATATTAAAAAAAAAAAAAAACTTCATCAGTTCTAAGCACCAACCGCCTTTTATAACTCATTAGTTATTACCATTATATGTACACGTATGAGGTTAGGATATATTCATTTTTTAACATTGAAAAATTACGCGTCCGTTGTGTTAAATATAGGCCTCGGAGCGTTCACCGGGAGACCGAATGCCAATATTAACGGCCACGGTTTAGAATTTTATTGCTTGAAATACTTAATTGGTATCCACCATTATAATGTAGTTAAAATAATTTTCATTGAATATAATTAATGTTTTTTTTCTTCTAAACATCAACAAATTTAAATGTAAATGTATATAGGTACACGTATGTAATAGGCCTGGTATGTATTTTTCCACCCAAAAGTGTTACAGAATAACAAAAATTTACTGGAATAAAAAATCACGTATGGTTGTATGATAAACAAAATACTATGCGTAACTATAAAATGTAAGCCAGGAATCCATGTTAAACTGATAATTAATTAATTAATTAAAGTATTAATTTGAATTGATTAGTCCATCATATTAATTGCATGTAATTAATAATATTTATTATAATATATTTATAATAATTATAAATAATAAATATATTATTTAGTTTTCACTATTGCTTGTGAAAATAAATGTCAAAATATCGATTTAAAGTTAGGTACGTTTTGGGATAACTTTTTCCGTTACGATTTTTTTAAACTTTTATTGGCTTGTTTGTGTACCTATATACAATTTAAAATGTTTATCTTATTGATGTTAATTTTTATAATAATCGAAGAAAACCATATAAGGGAGTTTGAACTCTAGGTTTCTACATATAATGAAATGTATGAATTTTAAACTAATCGTTAATAACAATTGACATTATATGGCCTAATCTGAATCGAACTTGTTTTGAATAAGGCGTTCGAAATGGTATGAAAACACGGGGATATCGCTGTGTAAAATATAGTGACTGTATAAAATACCATAGTAGCTAAGTAGTTAAATAGTTATATTATCCGTAAAACAATGCATAATGAAGACAATACGTCTAGGAGTGTTGGCAAAAAATATCTTTGAATTTAATAAGAGTGCAATTAACCAAGTATTAGTAACCATCATAGCAACTATTGTGTACGTATCGACAACGAACAAAAAAGACATTTAATGAATTCTGTACAACGTATGTAATCACCTAAGCAAATATTTATCAATACGCTATTTTGACGTTTTTTTTATTTTAATAACATATTATTTTAAACGCATGATAAATTAACTAATAATAGGTTGTACAGTATCCCGTGAAAATATTCCTATTGCTATATCTTTTAAGATAATGATGAAAGTAATTTTTTTTTTATGACAAGGACCACAAATATTCGTATTTTAATTAAATGATTGTGTTTTAGTAGAAAATTTATAAAAATACTATAATATTATATACTACTAATATTTGATTACTTTCATTGATGCCATGATTTCGTATATATGATTATGTATATATTTTTTTTAGTTTACAGATCTAAAAACAAAAAAAAAAATCATTCGTGAGTCGTTTAAAATATTAGCATTTGATTATCTTTGTTATTTCATGAAAAATCGCAATGTGTATATATGTGGGACATCCTATGTATTGTTAAACTTTTTTTCCTAATTAAAGTCCTTGGTATATCTTCATTTGTTTAAACTAATTTTAAAATGTCACTGTTTATTATAACATCGAAAATAATTATACTTGAAATATTTTTGTATTTTATAAATATAGTTTATAAAGAAATGGCCGTGTCTCTGAAAAAAAAAAATATCAATAAATTAGTATTGTCAAAGAATAATAATATTATGTATCAGTGGTCTCTAACCTAAGGCTCGCGGACCGATTTCTGTCTGCCAAGTTTACTCAAATGTTGTCAGTATTATTCCAAATCTAAAAAAACGAGCGCATGAAATGATTTAAATATTTAGCTACACTTACTTATGTGGATATACGTTTAAAAAAATTAAATACGTCAAATTTAAACATATTTAACTAACTTAACCGACAAAAATTTACAAACGACGCTATTGACTAAAACAATAAAGTAAACAAAGGGGTAAAGGAGACTTAAATTTTTTTTCTCAGAAATTTCTGGTAGGGGCTGAGGTCATATGTATATATATATATATATTTATGAGGCCCCCATAAATACACTCCTAGTTGGGTGTCTGAATAATTTCCTCTCAACAGTTAATACCCCAAACGAGTGAGACAACTTGTCCATACCCAGAATCGCTTTACAATGATAACAGTGACGTGTTATCGTGTACAGTGATGTCTCATTGTCCGGTTTACAAATTGATTTCAACGTGGTTGTAGGTTTATCTCTTCCGGTGAGGATGACGTAGGTACGCATGGGTAGTGACGCGATGAACGTTCGGGATGCACAACATGTATTTTAGTGCTCGCATCTCAATTTTTTCACCGTAAGATAACCATCTCTTCTACGTGAAAAGCATTATGGTGTAATTTCTATGCACGCATCTAGAGACACGCGGATAACGCTACAGGATTAGAATTAGACACGTACTACACTGTTGTATCAAGTCTTCTTCTGTTTAAAACAGTTGTGCTGTGTGTTTTCGACTGTTACCATTTTACCATTTATCATCATATGTTCCATTTCCGTAATTAAAAAACAAAAATTAATTTTAAAACAAATTATTTTATAAGAAGTAGACGAAGAACAAGGCATCATAAAATATTTATTGCCAAATGAAAAAAAAAAGTTCATGAAATGTTCAAAGCTAATAAAACTGAAGAATTTTTTAGTGTCCGGATATAAAAACATCTATGGTAAGATGAAACCAAATTCAGGGAATTTTTTAGATAGAACTGGGATAAAGTAAAATATATATCAAACTGTATATTTCGACATTTTCATCAAGCTTCAGATTCTCGGATCGTGCGGCTTTTGCATCTTGACTGTTTTTCAAGCGGCCGTCGCCGCGTGTTGCCTGACGCGTTTGTCCACCGTGATAATAGGAATCGTTTACATAAAAAAAAAAAAAAATAAAGTTGTACCTGCGCGGCCAAATTTCAATCGCACCGCGTCGCCCGCGCGTCTATACGTATGCATAGGAATCTCACTTTTAGGTTGTATGTTTCATAATTTTGTGGCTTTTGCGTATATTTTGAGATTTCGAAATTATAAATTCACACATGTTTCAGTACGTTTTAAAAAATTAATGTTAACAAAACTGTATTAAATTTTAACCTTGCGTATCAAGAACACATTAGCCACGATGAGTGTGTGTTATGCTTTATGGATAATGAGGATTTTTCATATTAACGTCGACGTCTTTGACGAATGTGGAAGTTTGTTAATTTCCATCTCACGTGCCTCCGTTATTTTCACTTTTGATTTAGGGCTAATGTCTCACGACCGGTCGTGGATGCACGTGTCACGTTAGAACATTAAAACAGCACTGAACGCGGTTCTATTGTTATTGTTATCGTAGTTTGGTGTTGTTATTTTTCCGCGCGGCTTAAATTGTTTTTGTTTTACAATATCACGAATTCTTTACTTGAGACAAATTTAAAGCGTTGAAAGTGCATAGCGTAATTTCACACGGAACGAAGACGATGGGCGAATAACATATTGTTTCTTGTGTTACATATGGCGTATAATATATCAATATAAACGAATAAAAAAAAAAAAAAAAACACCAATTGTACAATCGTAGTTTAATTGCCATCCTTTTTTGTTGCTTTATCAGATCTTTTTCCGTGCCACCGTCCTTCAAACTCTAGAATCACAAAGAGACGAAAAGTTGACAGACATCTTCACTCTTCTACAAGCCCGTTGCCGTGGATATCTCGCCCGAAAAGATTACGCTAAGCTCAAAGTGAACGACATAGCGATACGATGCATACAGCGGAATGTCAAAAAGTTTATGATCGTCAGGGACTGGCCGTGGTGGCGATTGTTGGTCCGAATTACGCCTCTGTTAAACGTACACCGGACCGAATACGAACTCAAGCAGAAATCGGTGAGTGCATTTGTCACCCATCGCGATGTGATTATTGAATAGGTGTATGAGTTAGTATATCATTTTGTGTTTTTACAGGACGAACTGGAACAGTTGAGGAGTAGAGTGGATAAGTTGGAACAAGAACGGTCGCAGTTGAAAATGGACAACGACAGACTTGAACAGAGGGTAAGTGAACAATTTTTTTTCACAGTGTATTTTATTTTTATTTTTTCGCATTCGAGTATTTGCCGTTTGTTGTCTGGCCTGTGGCCAAATGCATTTAATTTCCTCCCGGGGCCGGTCTATTTTTATGCGACCGATATTTTAAGACGAGTCTAACTATCAACAATAGACTAACTCCTATTTCATTCAACTGACTGACATTTCCCCAAACATTGATCATAACGTTCTCATACATTCCCGTAACAACACAATGTTCACTCCGGCATTAATGAGAAGACGATACGGCGGCGGCGTTACGCCGTCGCGATCGATTTCACGTTCTTTATCGCCGTTATCGTATCGGTCCTGTCACTCGGCCGCCGATCACAGATCGTCGGAATTTAACGCGAAACTTCTTGAACTCCTCCAAGAAAATAAGGTATACATATTATAATATATAGTATAATACATATTTCTATGTTATCTCGTATGGTAAATGGTTTTTTTTTTTTTTTAATTTCAAATTTGCGCTTTTTGCGCTGCTTTCAGTTGGCCGAAACAACGGCTGACTTGGCCGAGGAGCATTCCACTGTAACTATGATATCTGAGCGGCTGCAGTTTGAATCGGCCGAACGACAACGCCTCGAGAAAGAGCTACAAGAAACCCAAACCATCAAAAATCAATTGACCGAGACGAATGAACAGTTGGAAATGCAACTGCTATGCATGAGATCCACCGATCCTTCGTTGATGTCCTCTTCATCATCTGTAGCTGGAACCATGAGTGACGATGATAGTGCTGTAGCGAATAGCGATAAAGGTGACCAGTATTATAGACGGAGATACGAACGAGTTTGTCGAGAGTTGGATTACGCTAAGAAACGACTGCAACAACAGCATAATGATGACATGGAGCAATTATTAGCAATGAAAAAACAGCTTGAAAAGAAAGTGAGTATACTTATACATTTAATTAAATTGTAGTTAAATATAATATTACAATTTTATTATTATTAATAATTCATTGAACATAATTTTCCAGATGGCTAGTGTTTACGAAGACGTAGAAGAACAACGTCAAATAGTTGCTCAATGGAAACGAAAAGTTAACAAATTAAACTCCGAATCAAACGACCTTAAACTCATGCTAGAAGAAAGTAACTCGAGAAATAACTTACTCGAAAAGAAACAAAAGAAGTGAGTTGCTCTCTCTTATATAATAAACTACATTGTCATGTAGTCGTAAGCGAATAGGAATTAAAAATAATAATAACTATCCAGACTGTTATACTTTAGTGTTGTAATGCTTGCGTGGTATGGAAAAATAAATGTTATATCTAATCTTACTTATCATGAAAAGTAATTATAGTTTAGCTGTCAAATAAAAACAAAACACTAATGATATTACGCGGAACACGCTGTTGATAGTGAATAAATGATAAACTGTTGTATTTAAATATATATCATTAAATTATCAAATACGTTCAGTGTTATGTTAATCGTAGTTATGCATTGTTATTTCAGGTTCGATTTAGAGTTGCATTCATTACAGGAGGATTTAAAGAAGGAAAAAGCTCAAAGAGAAAAAATTGCCAGAGAAAAAGATATGGCAATGTCGGATAAATTTTCAATGGAACAATCGCTGAGCGTAATTATTTCTTGAAATATTCTAATATACATAAATAAATAAAAATTTTTTGATTACAGAGTATCAAATTAGAGTTAGAGCTCAAGGAACAGAAAGTCGTCAGTTTGAATCGCGAATTGCAGGAGTTGACTTTCAGTGGTAACACTGAGGAAGAGGTGGCTGCGTTGAAGCGTTCGAAACATCAATTGGAGAGTAAGCTCAAAGATCAAGAAGAAGAGCTAGACGATCTGGCAGGTCAGGTGCAGCTATTGGAGCAGGTAAAAACCAGGCTTGAAATGGGACTCGAACAGGAACGCAAGGAACACCGACGAGAATTGGCTCAAAGAGAACAAGAAAATGAGGAAACCCGGTGTTCCGCTGCGAAGAAAATTAAAGCATTGGAGTGCGAGATCGAAAACGAGCACGAGGAGAGGACGGCCTTGATCAGGGAACGCCACGATCTGGAAAGACGGTTAGTGGACTCAGAGGACAGGGAGCGGTGCCGGAGCATGAACGACCAAGAGTCCATCGCCCGGCTGCGGAGGGATATGAAGAAGTTGAAAGCACTGTTACGTGACGCGCAGACGGTGCAGGAGCAGCGAAGTGACAGCCAGGCGAACCGTATAGCCATGCGGCAGCTGCGGAATCAGTTGGAGGACGCGGAAAGCGCTAGAGACTCGGCGATCAAGGCCAGGACGATGGCCGAGACAGATTTGGCGGAAGTCACGGCTTCATTGGACGAAGCGCAGGCAGCCAAGCGAGCAGCGGAAGAGCGCGCATCAGCGCTGGCTCGGGACAAGAACCACTTGCAGAGCCAGTTAGACGAGAACGAGGAGGAACTGGCCGAGGTGTTGAAGAAGTACCGGGGGACGGTGCAGCAGTTGAGCGTGGAGCAGACGGTGCAACAGGAACAGGCGAGCCGCATCGCCGAGCTGGAGACGGACCGGGCCAATCTGCAGGAGCGGCTGGCCGAGCTCACGTTCCGGTTGGACAATATGGAAACGCACGGCGACCCGGCTGGATCGTTGAACCTGAAACGTTTGCAACTGCGCGTCACCGAACTCGAGTCCAAACTGCAACTGGAACTGACCACCAGGACCCGGCTGGAAGTGCAGATAGCTCGGCTGAAGGAGATGGCCGAACGACTGGAGAACGAGCGCGAGACTGCTCAGTGCAAGGAGAATGCGGCCCAGGAGACGGTACGCAAAATGCAGCGTTCTTTGCGCGAGGCGCGTGAGTCGATGGCTGAGAGGGAGTCCAAAGACTCGGTCGACGTGAACCGGAAACGAGCTCTGGAGAAACGGGCCGAGCAAGCCGAGTCAGAAGTGACCACAGTCAAGGCCGACCTGGCGCTTGCGTTGCAGCGCATTGATGACTTGCAGGCCGCGATGACAGGTGACCTCGAAGACGACGACGACGAATTCCAGTCGGACAGTGATGACGATGACGACGGAGACGGAGACAGCGACGACTCAGTCACCACGTTCTTGGCCAACCAAGGCACGAGAAACACGTCGATCCTACAACAACCAAAAGTGAGTTGCTTGCGGTCGGATTTTGTGTTTTCCTTAATTGTGTTTACACGCACTGATTAAATAAAATAATCAGTACTTGAAAGTACTTTTTGTTTTTGAAAAACCATCAAGTCTTGTGTTGGCAGTGCCGTAACTAAACTACTCGAGGCCTGTGTGAAAATCTAAATATTGACGTCCCTAATCATAATGCAATAACCTAGAAGGGTGCGGGGCAAATGGTATTGGTAAAGTTAATTAATAATATTGGTTTCATTAAAATAAATTATATATTGATATTTTCATTCCAGTCATTAGATTTTTTGAGTCCCATAATATAACATGAGGCTCGTGGCTTAAGTGCAATGCATACTACACACTTAGTTTTTACGGTACTGTACTCATATATTGGTATTTTTTTTTTTTAAAATGAGTGAGGTAATCGCAATTTTAATAAAACCGTGCGTGTGAAATCAATACTATGGATATCATATGACTACCATCCCTACCCTGATCAATGAGAACATAAGCATTTTTAGTTATTACGTGCGAATATTAATCTAGTTCGTATTTTAATACGGATTTAGTTCGGCCAGTGATGAAAACTCAGGGTTAAAAAACTTATGAAATTTAGTGGGACGAGTAAATTAAATATGAGTTTTTGTAGTTTTTCAAAGAAAGTTTTCGAAATCTGATCGTTGGATTTTTTTCGGACCTCAATATGTTTTTCTATAAGAGTTGTAATTTTTTTTTAATTTTTTTTTTTAGAACATGGATGCTGCAAATAATTGATGAACATTGAATTTCCTGATGAGTTTTCACCTAAGTATTACTTAAATACCAGTTTTATTTTAAATTGTGTTTGTAAACAGTTACTTAATTGTAAACTTTATCTTTATAATTATTATTATTATTATTACTATTTAAATTAATGACTAAGACTCATGATAAACATATAATTGTGATTTTTGACCTCCCTGTAGCTCTCTGTACTATGTTGTTTTATATATATATATATATATATTCTCCCTTTTCCCAGTGTCTTCCACCATTCGGAGGGTCGAACGCACTCACCAGCAAACCATTATTCGTTAACCGTCCACCGACGCAATATCATATAATTTTTCTTTTTTAATTTATTATTTTTTTCGTTCACTCATTTATTTATTTATATATATATATTATATATATATTTTTTTTGTATTGAGTCTACGACGTTTATATTGTATTATTTTATGTAATAAAATGTTATAATTTTTTTTTTTCTTAAAATACTTTCCTACTTGTATCCTATAAACGGTAGGTATGGCTTGTTTATCTGCCGCCAAACCCCGAACTACCCGTAGCACCACCGTTGTTTGCTCGACCGACATTCCTGCTGTAGAACAACGCCTATAAGAACATGCTTCATTCGTGCTATTAATAAAGACTAACGCACTTGTATGTGCGAGCTCGGAACATATTTATGCAAAATCAGCCTCGTCGAAATGGATCATTCTGAAATCGATTTTTAACAAAAAACTGTTTTTATTTCCAATGGGTCTGTGAGCTGGTAAAAGAAAATCCCTAATAGATCTGGATCAAAGGTTCACAACCTTTTGAGGTAAATGCCCCCTTTCATACTATTTTATACTGTCACGCCTCCTCAACATAATAAGATTTAATTATTTTTAGTAAATATATATATATATATATATATTTTCTTCTCTTCTTGTATTCAACCTTATGATCGATTTAACATGCTCTCCACTCTTCCCTGATTCCAGCTACCCGCTTTAGTTCCATGTTTCATGTTCCATGCTTGACAAATTAAGTTCTTGGACATTATTGGTCTCTCTTACCTTCAATTTTTCCTTCTATTATTCTATAAACTATTTTATGTTTGTGCTTGAATATGTGACCAATCATGTTTCATCCTCTTTGAGAATTTTATGAAGCGTTTCCTCACTCGAAAATTCATATATTGCACCATAAAAAATTTTTCTTATTTACGAAAGCTAAATTTGCCTATGCTATTCTGGATATTATTCCTATGATTCTGCTGCCTTGGTTAAATGAGCTGCCTAATTATTTAAAATATTCCACTTTTTCAAGTAGCCGATTTCCTGCTTGGATATTTATTCTACTGATTCGGTCTAATTTTTAGCAATCAAAATCATACCTTCTTTGCTGTTTATCGGATAAATATGATAATATAAAAATCAATGAAGTTGTTTTGAATAAATAACAAATTGATTTATAAGGAAAATAATATTATTATTTAAAATTATTAGAACAAATTATATTAGGTACCTATATTATATTCACTTTCTTAAATATTAAATTTTAAATTTATTCTTATGAAGTAGATACTTAAATATAAATAATCAAAAATAACGTTTTCATGTTAAGTTACTTTTTAAAAATTTTCATGCCTCCCTTGAAGTTTTATCATGTGACCTATGGGAGGGGGGCACGCCCTACAGATTGAGAACCGCTGATCTAGATGACGAACAGCGAGCTACCGCCGCGGTGGATACTCGTTTGCGCACATATTAATATATTTTTTAAATTTACGGTAGCTAGTTAGCGCACAAAATTGTGAACAATGAAAACTAGCTATTAGGTACAATTTTGGATGTACAGGATGTTAGTTACTCTAAAAGTATTACGTTTGTTTTTCAATCGTAGTTTCCCATCAGGTTAAGATAAAGTTTATTTAGATAGATGCAAAAAAATAAAATTTTATTAAAAAATACTCGAAAAATGATTTTGGGATTGGAAGGTGGCTTACATAATTCTTTGGTTCATCATATTTAAACCCAAATTATGTTCCAGACGCATTTACTAAAATAATTTCATGAGCGCCATGTAATAATAAATATGGATTTTTGGGACTATATACTAAAAAAAAAATATATTGATTTTAGTGCTAATTTTTGGCCAGAATTATGAGCTAGTGTACTAGACAATAACTCAAAAATAACGATCGGAGTTGAACATTTTCTCGTACTTCAATAGTCAGTTTTATACCTCCCGTCCTTACTAAGTTATTTGATTATTAATAGAAATTCAAATCAATATTGATTTAAAAATGAATTAATTGAAAAAAAAAACAATGAAAACATCCGTAGAAGAGAAGTATTAAAAAACAAAATTATATTCAGATTACAAACTTAAAAAAATTGACATTTTAACATTTTTAATGCAAAAGCGTACCAATAAATAATAAATATGTAGGTACTTCATTTTAAACTATATAAATAAATTATTTTATAGACAATAAATATATTTCAAAGACTATTTGTTCTATTTATTGTTAATTATATTATTTATTTAATTATGTTAATGACTTGGTTGTAAAAATGATTGTAATTGTGATAAAAATTATTTATTTTTTAATCGAAAAAATTGTAAATAATGACTTAAGAGACTTAAGTGATAAATGAAATAGCTCAAACAACATCTTTAAACTTTCCAGCCTATGTTATCAGAATATGATTGAACAATGTTAGGCCTTATAAAGGTCCAAAGAAAATATCTTAAGAGTATAATAATTTTTCACCATCAGTAATGAAAAATTTTAAAACTTGGAGAGATACGCAAGTTATGTACACCTCATTCGTGGTTAAGTTTCTCCGAAAAAAGGTCTTTATTGTTCATAAATTGTGCGCAAACGAGTTGTTTTTTTGTGCAATTGAGTTGCAGCCTTCGTGGCAATGTCGTTGAACTCACTTTGCTATCTGACAGATTACCAAATCTCTGTAAATACTCTGAATTAATTAATGTAAATATGTTACGTGTTTGTCAATTTCAACAATCCTCTAAAACGGCTGGTACCGAATTCCGTCCCGGGCCCCCTATGGTTCCATTACTGAAGACCGAATTCCGTCCCGGAGGCGGAGCAACTATGTCTGAATTCCGTCCTACTACCTGTAACTATGATATATTTGGCAGTAATATTTTCCTTCTCATTTTCTCCAGGCTTAGGACTGGCAGCTTTGCTGGCATGTTTAAAAATGTAAAATCCGGCAAAACAGCCTTATTTATTTACTATTGACATACGGAGCAAAAAAAACTCCACTTACAGTATATGCCATTTATGTATAAATATGACAGTCATATAAGTATTTTAATAAATTTAAGAGTATAAGTATAATATATGTTATGTGTAATTAGTATTTAAATTATTTATTATTTAAATAATTTTTTTTTTTTAATTATTATTTTTTAGATTTGAAATAGGCTGGTAAAACTTAGACGACACCTGACTTTGGTATACACAATACATAGTATATAAATCGTTTACGTTTTTATTGCGAATAATTGCGATAATACAAAAAAACGATACGCGTGATGTCAGGTGAAGCCTCTTGAAGTTCTATAAAATTGAACTTATATTAATACCGTCCAAGACTAGACGGGACGGAATTCGGACATAGTTTATCCACCCCCGGGACGGAATTCAGACGTAGTTGCTCCGTCTCCGGGACGGAATTCGGTCATTTTCAGCAACCCGGGACGGAATTCGGCGATTGCCTCTAAAACAGTGTGTTATAACTTATTAAATATTAGTATTGTTATTCATATGTTCGTTGAGTATAAATTGTTTTTTGTTCATTAGTGGAAATAAATCATCTATCTGACATTATAGATATGTGTGTATATAAATTCGACCAATGAGATATCGTTAAAAAAAGTGTAATAATAAATAAAAATGTGTTTAAACTTGAATATTTCGTCGTATTATAGAGAAAAAAATTATGCACACGTTATGCATATGATTACTTACCTATAGTGAAAGTGTTTGTTGGTTTTAATCTAAAGATTACCTATCCAAACTTTTGGCTCCCTTTTTTAATATTCAACGATGCAGCGAGAGATTATACTAACTCATTGAATTCCTGTTTTGAATTCGCTTTCACGAACGCAAAATTTAAGTAAAAGCGAGTATAGACTTTTCAATAAAGTGAAATATAAAGTAATACGTGGACCCGAAACGACAAATATCCATAATATTTTTTTGGCCAGTTAAAAATAAAATTTTATTGATAAATAATGTTTAACATTATAATATGCTATAATAATTATAACAAAAAATAGATGTTAATTATTAACATCTATTTTTATTTTTTATTTTATTTGTATAAAGATTAGTGTTTTTCGTTGTAATTAATAGGTTATCTTATTATTTTCAAGTAATTGCATTGTTTGTAACCAACTTGATATTCTGATCAATAACTCATTGAGGTCAGAGTGTGTGACCGTAATTTATTTCAGTTTTAATTTCTTTTAAGTATAATTTATAGTTGAGTGACGATCTGTAATATACTATATTTTACCGTACTTACTAGTTTTTAGACGTTATACTAGTATTTTCGAGTTTTGCTGATTGTTCTGTTTTTTCTTATCATTGTATAATATCCATCAAAACCAGTTAAGTATATTGTTTTTTGGGCGGGTCGGCAATTCATGGAGAGATGGGTGCTGAGTTGTCTTCACATATCATCAAAGTTTTAACCCTATCAATCTTCAGTTACTCTGATCCCAGTTAGGTAGAACTTGTACTTTTGTGACAAAATTTTCTTTGCTTTTTTTTTCAGTTGTTCAAAACTTTCGAACAACTTTCCATCAGTACAAATAAATTATTGCACTAAAAGTACATAGGCTAGAATCGTGTTCGAAATAATTTCTACTTCATTTTGCATAGTATGCAGGATATTTTAAAAATGCAAACGTATAAATGATAAGACATTTCACTTCTAACATAAATTATGACACAACAGTATGTTATAAGTTTATGAATATTGAAAACCGTAACAAGCGGAAATACGAGGGACTGTGGAAGACCGGTTTGCGACTTATGTTGTATGAGTAGCAATAACTGCGAACGTATCGGCGTTTACGAGTTGAGGAGTCCCCGAGACCCTCATTTAGTCTAGTCAGGTTCCAGTGTTTTCAGGTAATAAACCAATTGGATTTGACGATATTACAAGTACTATTTTAGTTGAGTCCATACAAAAAGAAAAATTTTCCTTCCCATTTTTACAGACTTAAGACTGTCAGTGATCTATAAATTAGAAAACAGGACAAAATTAATTTTTTTTTTTTAAGTTCCTTATAAATGGTATTTTATGATTATGTTACTATTTATACTAAAATATAGATACATTTAATATTGGAGTTAAAGACTAAAACATTAGGTATACACATAGATATACACATGACAGAGGACATTTGAGATTTAATTTTTAATTACAAATTATAAAATCTCATAAAAGGCGCCGGGTCCTGAGCTGTCCCTTCTGCCCTGTCCTTCCACAAACGTTTAGTTCATCTGAGGTTAGTATATATCAGTATCATAGTTTTAAAGCAAAGTGGGGCAGTGCCTCAGGTTTCTAGAGCATAGGGGGACTTAGACATTTTTGAGACTATTATGTTTTCTTAAAATAATTGACAATATTGAAGTATTTACAGTAAATTCGCAAATCATACATGATAATTCCAGTTACATTCAGTATTAAAATAGAATAATTTTTGCAGTATGTTTTTCGTAGTAATAAACTGCATGTAGGTACTTTTTACTTAGTATATCTATAAATTATCCGTCAATTATTTTTTATTTAGTTTCCTAAAAAGTATATTCACATTTAAAAAAATAAAACCATGTGCATCCTTTGAATTTTTGTATAAAAATAATATTAATTAGACAAACTAGCATATTTACTGGGCTTTACTTTTCTTACGCTTCTGGTACATTTTATTTATACGTATGGTAACATTATAGCATGAACAACAACATAAAATAAATTTATAAATTTAACACATTTTAGATATACTGCTTAATAACATTTGAATTATAATTATAAATTCACATCCAAGTTAGAAATCCAATGGTACCATGAAATGCACGTTTTGAACACTCAGATATTATGCACTCGATTGTCTAAGATTCCGTGACGCAATCACACGCTGAAGTTGCAGAAAGTCCCCATCTGTGCATCATATATATACACCGTTCATGTCCGGTTCTGAGTCTAGTTAGAGTAGACCATTTTTTACGAGGTAGTTTTGTCCTTTTGTAGTGTCTGAGACATCACATATAATATGATGTCTGTCAAGATTAACCTTGTTCAAATTAATCTTCCAACATTTTTCGACTAGGAAATTATGATCACCAAGTTCAATGATGGAATCCGAAATTTGAGTTTCTTAGTCGGTCACCCCTGGTACAAATACCGATAAACATAAACCGACTACTAATATTTATTTTTTCATAAATTAATGCATTTTCTACTTTCAATCAAATTAAATTCGTAAGACACATTGATTAAACGTGCTATGTACTTTTATGAAAAATGTATACACGTTTTCGTAATAGACTTAGAATATTTTTTTAGGAATAATGGAAACTTTATTGTAATACAACTAGGAAATTGAAATGACAACTGCCATGAGATAAAACAAAAAAATATTCGAGTGTATCAATAATAATAAATGAAATAAACACTTAAATGATATAAGTGTACAAACACCGATGTAAGCGCATTTGACGGTATGAAAAGAAAACGGGTTAGAAATAATAACACAAAACTGTGCTGAACATATATTACCAATTAAACTTTATTACTTATATAATAGAAAAATTAAAACATAATGTTTAACGAACATGAGAGTTGAATAGATGTGGTACATTTAAGTAATTCGGGCCGGTGCATAAGAATATATAATAACCGTTATAAGACAACATGGCGGTGTTTTGTCATAAGTTTTCGGGTACATTAACCGATATTATGCAACGTCATCGGATCGCAGTCTCGACTCGACGAAATCGTTGAGCTTGGACAGGGTTTCGGCCCACGTACTGTTGTGTTCGACCTGAAAACATTGACGTTAATAAAATCGCGTCGCACCGATTATTTTAATTTCACTCCCTTCTTAATTACCCTTCCTCTTATCCATTTCGATAGTCCGGTCAGGTTCTTGGGCTGCGAGTACCTGCTGTCCACCAATAGAATCGCGCCCCAATCGTTCTTGTGTCTGATGCAACGGCCCAGCGCCTGGTTCAGCGCTCTGTAGGCCTGTATCTGGTACCATTCCCAGCCGGGCAACAGGCCTTTGTTCTTGTGGTGCTGGTCGTTGTAGTATTTTTTGTGGCTCACAGCTACGTCCTTATAGTTGGGAAACGGAATGCCGACCTAAAACACGAAACACGACACTAAAAATCAACAAACCGATACGAACGCGAGCGTCGAACGAAACGCCGGGATAACGTAGGTACGCAGTCCAGCACCTACAATCGATATACTACAATTATATAATCGATGTACAGTGTATTTCAAAATGATTTTAGTAGAATATAATTATTGTTCCTCTAGCTCGTGGTAAACGAAGCACCAACCAATCTGAACCAATCAATTTGAACAGTAGGGTTATCGAGTATTTATCGATTACTCAGCGGGATTTCTGACAAAATCTGAACATTGAACCTCCACAGCCCAAAGTATTCGTAGATCGGTGTAACACGTTTCCACCAAATAAGATAAAATACCTATACTTTTCATGAGTTTTTCGGATTGATGTAAAATATATATAAATATACACACAATATAATTAATGTATATTGTACATTTATCGTATTTAATTGTATGTTATCAAACTTATGCATGCACTTTTATGTCCATTAACCATTATAATATCTAAATAGTCAAATACTTTATGAACAAGTGAAAAGATGGCATAGTTTAAATAGTGCATTACAACTGCATGTGTGTTAAAATAAAACGTAAATTTTAAAATTTATAATTCTATGATGGCTAAAATTATCGAAAGTAAACGCCGAAATAAAACAGCTAGTACTAAACAACTTTAAATTTTTTATTGGATCAGTTAACAAATATCAACTAAATATGTATATAGTTACAATTTACATAACTAAGGTATCATATATCATAATATATTACTTTTTCATCTTTTTATATCTGACCATTTTTTTAAATAAAATTTAACATTTTCCAACCTATATTGTATATATTATATAATGCCTTTACATTTATTGAATTAATAGTATATGTTAAATAAAGTTATTTCTGTGCTATAGCTTTTAATTTAAGCGTAGTATACAATTGTTTTGGTAAAAACGTGGTCAATATCTTATTTGGTGGAAACGGATATTAGTGGAAAAGGGAATGATACACTTTTGGTGGAAACAGGTATTGGTGGAAAAGGGAAACGTCTACTTTTGGTGGAAACGGGTATTGCCCTCGAAGATGACATAAAACCTTCCAGGAAACCGGTTGCTTATGGGAAGAGAAGCCATAAGGTCGACCAAGACCTTCAAATGAAAATGTTGAACAAATTCAACAAAGTTCCGTAAGAAGTCTGCAGAAATCAGTTCGTCGTGCACGCAGAGCTATTCGAAAGACTACAGTTTGGCGCGTTTTGCTGAAATATTAACCGTGCGAAATTCGTTTGTTGCAAGCTGTCCACGACAGCGATACGCAAAGAAAGCTTTGTTCTGTTTTTGAGCAGTGCGAAGGGGTAGAACAGTTTTCCTATCGTATCATTTTAAACGTTATACTTAAAATTTAATGTAATCAGCACTCTGAACATTTGTAAATATTATTCGTAAGACTTAACGTAATTGGTCAACTCGTAATACTTGTCCTAACCCGATCGTTCAAATTTCACAATAGATAAAATTTTCGAAATCGGACGAATCATTTTGAAACACACACTTAATATCGATATGTACACGATCGACATACGATACGATAGCATTACGATGATCGCAAAGGACTTGCGTAGTTCACATAATGCACTCACGGCGACCACTGCCCTCGCGTTATTGTCGGAAAAGTCCAACCCTTCGCTGATCTTGCCGCGGTAAACGGCCACGAACAGTGCACCGGTGAGACCGCCGCGGCGGCCGCCGGGCGCGGACGCCCTCTTGACGGCCGCGTAGTACTTGGTCATCAGGTCCTCCAGCTGGTCACCGCGCCGCGGCTCGCACATGACCGCCTTGGTGCGCTTCAGGTCCTTCAGCAGCCCGGTGATCTGCCACCGGGCGAACAGTTTATCCATCAGCACGTACGACGGCATGAAGCACAGCACCCCGTACGGAACGGTCTCGCACACGTTCTTCAGCACCAGGCCCATCTCGTCCTGAAACCCGTACGTGCCCGTGTTCTGGTACTGGCAGTTCAGGTCCACGCGGTTCGGGCCGCCGTTCACCGACGTCACCCAGCACTGGTCCGGCTTGATCACGTGGTTGGCCTCTAGCGTGATGGGGAACTGCGACCCGAGCTCAGACTGGAACGAGTTCATCGGCGACAGGGTGCCCGACGTGAGGATTATGCACCGAGCCGTCGACGTCAGCTCGTGGAACACGGCCGCGGGGTTCAGGCACAGGAAATTGACGGTATTGGTCCACACAGTGCGCGATTCGCTCGACTGCTGCGAACTGTTCAGCCAACCCGCTATGCCGGACGTCTGCAACGAGATTACCACATGTATCATCGAGCACCAGAAACTGTATTTTATGTGCGCGAGCGTTTTATAGGTTAGGTAAGACGCCCCCGGTACACAAGTAGTTATACTGTCCGTTTGTTGCGCGTACACCGTCGGACGATCATGTTCGTATACGTCAGGGATAGGCAACTTAAAGTTACTAGAGGGCCAAATTTTAGAAAATTAAAATCTAGCGGGCCACAGCATAAAAAACAAAACAATAAAAAAAAAAGGTTAATTAAAATATGAATTTTAATTAGAATTTATATACACGGAAATAATAAATTCAACACATACGACACGAATGATACGAAGAAAATAATATAGTTAATTAGTGCGGTACAAACAGCTATGGTTGAAAGCTATGCGTAAACATACATATGACATTTAGATATTTAACTATGTTTAATACCAGATAACAATTATTATATCGATAATATATATTATAGATGATAAACTTTAAAATAGTAGGATATAATTTGAAAATATAGCACGGACCAGATAAAAATGCCCGTTACCCACCCCTGGGATGCGTTATACGTTCACTTACAGTCGAGTGCTCGTCTACGTAAAACCACAACTACTCCTAAGCTTTTAGTAGTTCACCGAGCCGTAAAATACAATGTAAAACGGCCTGCAAACGCAGGACCAGCCCCCTCCCTCCCGATTACGGAAAAATCACTGAAATTCCACACCTATACTGTCGATAAGTTATCGATACGAAGGCGTACCGTATAATGGTCGGGCGACAGTACTTTTTAACAGCTCAACATATAGTTTTTTTCCTTCCGTCAAACTTCCGAAATGTCATGCATTATAATTAAATAATGAAATATATTTTACGGTTATTAAAAAAAATAGGATTTACATTTCGATCTGCGTGTTCAAATTTCTTCATCTGCATTATCCTTTCGAGGGAAACCTGATAGTCACTTTTATAGTCGTCATCGAACAGCAAACAAAATACCGTGATAATCGACGTCAGAATGTTTTTAGTCGCATTCGTAATAGAATCTTCGTACGGATTTCCTTGCGAAAAACCGTTATCCTTCACCAAATTCTCGACTTTTGATTCGTCTTTATCGGTTTTTGTGTCGTCCAATTTTGCTCCATCCATTAAGTCTTTGCCGATGTCTTGTTCGTCATTTTCTTTTCCTTCGTCGGCCATCACGGTTTCACAATGCTTCTAAAAAATGAATCAATTGGGCGCCGTAATAAAAAAAAATAACCGATAAAACTGTTACGAGTATCGCATGTACACACTTTGAATTTTTCGAAGGCTTCTGAACCTATTCCGAATTCATTGAAACTCGCCGTAGTGGACATGCCGGACCACGAAATAACACCGCGATCATAATCGTCAAAAGATTTGATTTCGGTAGACTTTTGGTCTATCCATTTCGACATGTCCGACAAGTATTGAGCCTGCAGAGAATCAATTCAAATCAATTTGTTATGCATAATTTATACGCTGACGAAAACGCACGCGTATGGTAGTTATAACTGCAAAGGCGTGCAGCGGATATGTAAACTATGTATACTCACTATGGCCGAGTAAGAAGTCGAATTGTTGCCAATTTTGGACAATTTTTCGCAGTCCATTTTCGCTAAGTTCAAATTCGTCTGCTCTAGTCTCAGGCTAGCAGCGGAGCGGCATTGATCCTCGATGTTGTGAGCTTCGTCGACGATGATCACGTGACCTTTTAACTGTAAGTTCATCTTGAAAAAAAAATAAATAATCCCATTGTAATCGATGCACATATTAATGATCAACAACAAAACGAGTGTGACATTATGGTTTTATGTTATAAGCGATGGTGTGTGGGTGAGTATACAATGTACGTCTAATGTATAGATTTATTATACGTCCAAGACTTACCGTGCCTCTAATGACCGGATCAATGACATAATTGTAAGGGCAAAAAACTATTTCAGCGGTTTTGAGCAACACCCGTGAACCGTAGTACGGACAAGATCTCTTTTCTATGCCTAATTTCACAATATCTTCGATGTCCCAAACGGACGACACGCCGTAATTAGACAGTTGACTGTACGTGCTTATTTTTAAGCCGCCGTTATCGTGATAAACACACTTTTCAATATCTCTTCTAAACTTTAATGAATTTCTAAATCTCTGAAAGCCATAAACCAATCAAATTATCCAGTCATCATGAAAACAAAAAATGTATTACAGAAAATCTAATAATAACTATAAAGCTGTATATAATACACAGTACAAAAGACAAAACATGTTAGAATGTTAAGCGAATTACAATAATATACTATTGAATATATATTTTCTACCGAACCTATAGGTTTTATAATTTATATTTATTTTTTATAACATTAATTTTTTTTCACAAATACTCGAATGTATTTTTAAGTAATTTTATACTTTATCTACAAAATCTGATTTTTTACCAAATATTCATAATAAATTCATATTAATGCGACAAATAGTAAGAAACGCCAATTAGATCACGAATAAGATTTATTATGACCATATATAGGCCAGTGACTCTCATCCTTTTTTCATTCATGTCACCTTTAGCCACTAGAATCAAACACCGCATCACCCTAATATCAAAATAATAAATAATCTTAACTGTGTATTTTAGAATAATTTTTGAAATAACAAAAAAATAAATAAAAAAATATGGTTCACAGAAAAATAATAAGTGCACCTACAATTTATTGAGTTGCAGGGTTCAATAAACATTGATATTTTAAAGTTTAAATTTGTGAATTAAAAAAAATATTATTGATTCGTATAAAAACTGATGAGAAATTGGGCCATGGTGATTTTTACAAAGTTGAGGAAATCGAGGGCTGGTGGTGGAAAGACCGAGTCTTATGTTGTCTTCTTATGTTGTAGAGCCATAATATACTATAATAATACTACATATCTAGCGACTGCAAAATAACTAACGACCCCGGTTAAGTCGATAAAATAATCGATAATGCCGCTGCTGATAATTTCGCGTTAATAATAATACTGTACGTGTTTATCGGATCTAAATAATAAATATAAATAATAATAATAATAAATACAAACTTAAAGGTATGCTATTACCATGACAGTTGTGGTAATAATATGATTTTATTAAAATTAATTATTTTTTTATTTTTTTCCCTTTCCCGTGGAGATTTTAATATCACCCTTACACTGTATCCATGTCACCCTTAGGTGAAATGTAACCCCAGTTGAGAACCACTTATATAGGCACATATTTAAAAATAGTTTTCACCAAAGATTTATTTCGTTTGTTACATAAGTACTTTTTAAAAACGAAAAAATCTGATATTTAGTAAAATGATAAAATGATTAAAAAAAAAAAAATGTATATAAGGTAATATTTATATTAGATTTAATTGTAATTACGAGTAAGTATATTTTTTCAAGCTACCAGTGATCAGTTTTTAATTAAAAAAATTCTTCAAACATACCTACCTTTTTACATAATACACAGATACGATTTATACTTGTAGTTCAATTTTACATAATGCTTTTATTTATTATTTAATATTTTATTTTTATTAGGGTTTCCTTTTTAATTAATATTATAAAACAGCATAATTCAATATTAATTTTAAAAAATCTTATGGTAGGTACATTTAAACATCAGTAAAAACGGTAACATATCATAATCCCACGAATGTTTATACAGTTTATGCTAATTAACTAGAAAGCGTACTTATTTTTATACGCATGTTTAAGTATATGTACAAGAGTAATTTGTATAGTTTACTATATGCGTGTAACTTGTAATTGGTTATTAAAGTTTCTCTCATCCTCTTTATTTATTTATTTTTTTTAATGTGATAATTTTTTAAAGCGTTGCAGCAGAACGTTTATGTATTTATCAGCGCAAACCTTTGTATATAACTCATGAAATGTAACGATTAGAAATGAAATCCACCCATAATAAAAGATTAATTCAAATTATTTTCTCTATCAAACGACATTAAAAACTACTCAAAACCCGCAATATAATATACTATTCAACTCTTGAATTTAAAACATTTATAGTATGGATATACACGTAACGTTGGTTGAATTTGCATACACTAAACAACACGTACGCGCTACACGAGTAGTGAATGTGCGGTTACAATTATTTTCTCACGATTTCAATCGTACTATATTAATTTGTGCAGTACTTCTTTAAATTGTATTAACCAACACTAAGTAATGACATCCTTTTATCATCTCACTTTAATAATATTATTGAGTTTTAAATAGTCTAGTCAAATTGTGTGATTCTTTCGTGATACGGTTTGATTTTGTTATATTTATTACTATTTGATACAAATGATAATTAAAAACTATTATTATTACAACGGTAAGAACGCACATGTACACCGAAGCGAATACCGAACCATCCCATAATGTTTTCCATTAATAAAAATCCGCCAGCGTATATGTGTTTGTGATGATGAAATTAGATACGGTGTGCATTTTATTGCGCATTCAATTGTCAATGCCCAACCAGTGTTTGTTTACAATGGCCAAGAAGGATTCAATGTACATACATGTTTTGTTAAACCGGTTACAATTATAGGTTCGGGTTTCGTTTCCATTTCAACTGTAATGTATTTTTTTTCTTCTTTTTTATTGTATTGTATAAAACATTTGTGTACGCGGAGTACAGACCCACATAATATACATCAACGAAAAATAATCGTAACACAATAAGTGATCAGCACACTTACCGCTTTGGGATCCAATAGATCTCTGCACAATTCAGTTTTCGATTTGTACGTTATATCAGGGTAGAACAAATTTGAGTCCTGAATGCACGTGAGTTCACGACTTGCTAAAACACAACTCCTATGACAAAAAATAAAAACAAATACATATACAAATTATTTCAATATTTATACTTTAATTTTAGCTCACCTGACATGGTTGAAACTAGTTCTTTGTAATTCTTTTATTACTTGTTCAATTTGTTTATGAGTTCTCGTACAAAAAAATATCACTGGAACAACCAGCCTACAAATAAAAAACAATTTTTTTTATTAAATTATAATAAAAGGGAGCAAGATTTAAAAAATAAGCCTTCTTATATAACGGCTTATTAAACATCTGACATTTGTTCTAAATACAATTTTTTAAAAAGAAACAATTGTTTAAAGAAATTTGTTTTTACCAAAAATATAATTTTTATAAACGTATGTAAATAGTTATCGGCGAATAAAGACGGTTCTGTTCAATTTTCATGATCATTTAATACATTCAGTTATTAAATTTAAATAGGTAGTACCAGAAATTAAAAATGCTACGCCCATGAATAAATTAATCTAACACAATTATCAGAAAGTCATTAACTGAAAATACCTGTTAGTTTTATTATTTGGTTTTAGGATAGTTTTAATTTAATTTATGCATACCATTTTGTTAGAGTAAGTGTAAATAACAATACTATACGTTACACTTAGATAAATTAATAATACAAATTTTAGATTAAATTTAATTGGTGAAATTTTGATAATTAAATTAAATTTTTGAGAGTTTTGATGTGTTTTTTTTTACCTAGAAAAACATAGTGTATACTTTTATATAGAGCAAATAAAAGTATTAGAAAAAAATCAACATTTTTACTGACGAACTGATAAGAAAGAACAATACAAAATTGCATACAAATCAATATGTAGGTGTGTATTATATAAATATGCTTGACACAATATCTCACTTTGGTTTTTTTGGGATTTTAGATTCAGCTTGATGTGTTATATGATTTTCGTCTTCGTCTTCGGTCATCAAACTGTTATCAGTACTATCATTGGTCATTATTGAATCGTCATTCGACTTGTTCTTATTATCCTATATATATATACAAAGAGTAAACGTTCAATAATATTCGTGGCTTGTTTTATACCCATTAACAATAATACACTTACGAAATAATGGCTTCTATTCATTTTTCTCTTTTTCCCAGGTTGTTTAAATATGGACATTTCCTCGTCCGAATCATCATCATCGATATCGTTGACCAATGACCATCCTTTACTTTTAGCCGAAGAAATGTTTGTTCCTGCGAAAAAAGAAAATATAAAAATATAAAATATTCATAAGGCGAAGACGTCCGGTTTTATAATTGAATGCGAGATCAAGGACAAGAGGATATCATCTGATGATAGCCAACTTTTCGTTTGTGTGTAAACGGATTCGAGCTTATCCGGAGCGGATATTATGCACCATACACTGGATGCGTCCTGCGGGGATATTATTAATCGCGTTTTCCTTCCCCATTTATTTTTAATAATGACAAAACGGAGGGTTTCGTAAAATCCTTTTGTGAAAAGCCCCCAAGGGAGGATATTTGCCTGATAGGAGTTATAATAAGAACTTTCTCTCTTATTTCTTTTATTTTTTTACTTTATTCGCTTCGGTTAAAATAGAACAAAGAAAATATGACGACGTCGTCGAATAACAACGTGATAACAGGATATACGCCGCAGTCGTAACCAATAAACGTATAAAATACATACGAACATTTTTTTATTTTAATTAACTTAGAACTAACTCTGTACAGATACTTTTCTGGAAATAAGATGTACTCGTACTATACACACAAAACACAACTCATTAGAACTATTTAAAACGAGGTCAAATTCGAGATTATTATCAATCTTTCAACAGATAAAATATAAATCCAAGAGAGAAGATTATATATTATGTATCTAATAATAACGTATTATATTTATTTGATAGAATTATATTAAATTGACGATATGTTTTTTCATATTTTCAGAATCAATATGAAATCTTTCATAATCTATAATTTTCGTCACTTTGACTTATTTTCTATAATCTTGTATACATAATGTTTACGATATTATATTATAATATATGTAGGGTTGTGTCTATTTACATAAAAGGCATTCATAATTGTTGAAGTCCACATCATTCAATTATATAATAACACATGATTGAAAAACTTATCGTAAATTATTAGTTAACAATTATTAAATAATAAAATTAAAATACTGTGTTGGACTTAAAATAAAATTTGTCTACTTATTATTTAATTAAATATATCTAGTTATTCAAATATAAGTTTCAAATACTGAAGTTTAATACCTTAACGGTAAAAGTACAATTTTATTTGATACAATGTTTTTGAAAGTTATAATTTACACATTTTTTTCAAGACAAAAAAATATTATTCGCGTACACTTGTGAAGATGATATGGTACACTATACGAGTACACGGTTTATGTATTCAATATCCTTCTAAAAATATTTTGATTAAGGAGTCCAAGTGCTTTAGAAGGTTTACTTTCTTAATTACTTTCTTCATTACCATAAAATAATGTTTAGTATTTAATGGTTTCTTAAGATTAATCCTCGGGTTGCACATTGTTGAATTAAAATTGTTTGTAGACTCTTGAGCATTGACTATAAAGCTACAAGGACATTTGGTATTAAGTTTATATATAAACTTAATACTTTTACGTATATATATATACGTATGTACGTGAAGGAAGTAAATACTTATTATTTTTTAACAAAATACAATTCCTTTTTTTTTTGTTTTCACATCACAGCTTTGCATAGTAAATGAGAATGAAAGTCGTAGTTTAATTCTTTAAAAAATTATTTCAAATTAATATTTTTTACAACGTATAACAATGTAATTTTTTTATAACCATAACGTTCACTGAAGAATTTTTGAGTGAAAAATTAACTAAAATAATTTTAAAAAAATAATACAAAATATTTTTTTATTATTAAAAAACAGGCAAAATCTGTTCATAACTAGAATAGATTTTAATAATATAACCAATATGTTCCTTTGAATTATATGTGCATGAATATACAACAATAAATACAATGTATTTATTTTGTTAAGACAGAAATACCTGTTAAAAATTGTTGTTCATTTCGAGTGCGTATAGCGTATAAAAATAAACTTAAAATACTTACAAACAACAATACACACATAATACAATTGTATTAATGTACGCATATAATACAATTACACCGAACTTCACTACCAGGTGTTGTTTAAACAATAGCCCAAATAAATTGGATGGGTTTTTAATGAGAATTTTTCGTCAAGTATTTTAAGTGTGCGAATAAGTAGTTATGGGTTTAGATATTCACAACACAGCTATCGATATTATTATATATTATAAACTAATATGAGACCTAAGAACGAATCGAGAAACGAGATAATCGAATAATAAATGTATAAGGGCTATAATTACGTTTGCCAAAAATATATTTTAATCGAGAATGATTTATCACATAATATACTCGATAAATGCCCAACGTAGTAAATTATTGACGAAAATGTTTTGCAACTGTTTAAACCTACTATTTTGTTCGTTAAAATCCATGTTCAATACGTATTATTTGTGATAAATAAATTTTGTTTTTTACTGACTAAGTACTACTAAGCAGTTGTGGATACAACTAGACGGACACGAAAAACGAATAAAAAATTGAAATAAGGTGGGTTTTATTTTATTTTTTTAATATGGTCACTTTATGTACACCTTGTAGAGTACACATGTGTACAACACGGTCGTCGGAGGAGTGGCACTTTGTTTTCTAGACAATTTTAATTAATCGACGACTACGTAACGTTTGTACATACGAATCACGGGACATATTTACGAGTCAAGCCCAAATCGTGCAGTATGGGTCCAGATATAGCCACCAGTAGTAGTGTCCTACAGCGATTATGTTTAATACAGAAAACGAGTTAACGAAATTATGCGGTATTGTCGGTTTCAAGTGAAACGAATAAAACAAAAATAAATCTGAACAATTTTTTTTTTGCCCGAACTGATAAAAATTCGGATTACAAAATGCTGGTACAAATACGCAGAATATAAAAATTCTCTTGTCTGTGATCATACTTCATAATTTCGCAACGTGAAATCCACTGCGTAAAACGAAGATATCCGTGAAACGCAAAAATATAGGCCCGAGTGGTAAGTACCGAATCGGATAATCTCACAGGGGCCAATTTTATTCATAACCAAACTCGGTGAACACACTGCACATCCAATAGTTGAAATAGATGGACCATTTACGACTAAAACAAAGTTTTTGTTTAGGGTCAGTATACCAATTGCGCTTGTATTCAAATTTGCTTATATTCAGATATAAACGTTTTATTTTTTCATCTAATTTCATCAACATAAACAGGAATTAACACGTATATTGCAATAAATAATAAGGAACAAGATAAATATATTTCAAATAGAGTATATTCATCAAAAAAGTTAACAATCAATTCTGCAATTGAGAAATACAAAACTGGTAAAATTTCCAGAAAATAATTTTTTTTAAATCTGTGTGTTATTATGATCGTAAAAAATTTAAATGTGAATTATAATGTAATTGATATAATTTTGAATAACTGACGATCAAAAAATAACTTGTTTAATGGAAGTAGAAAAAAATGTTGTATTCATATTATGGGTGTCTGTAAATTGCGGCCTGGGTATATTTTTGTACATATGCCTACCTTAATACTTTTTATTCACACGCAAATTATATCTAAGGCTTTTTTTCGCAAAATTTATATTTTCCTTCCCATTTTTCAGACTTAAGATCGACAATTTAATTGTGATCTTTAAAACTATCTATACAAATATTATTGTCATAAAATTAAAAAATTAATATATTTACACATTTTAGCTGTGCAATACCAATATAATGTATAGCAATTGGTGAAAACGAAATTTAAAACCATCAAATATTTCTTTTTTATTAAATCCAAAAAAATACTCATTTAAATTAACTGTAGAGCAACGTAAAAACTCGTACGTAAGAGCTTTGATCAACTACACTTTGGCTGCTAGTAATATTAAGTGAGCAAATTATCATGAACATCGATCAATATAAAATATAACATTAATATTTATCTTAAAATTGTAAAACCGGAAATCGGAATATCGTAGGCCGCAATTCACGTACATTTAAAATATACCCGGTATGCAATTTCCAAATATTTTACTGTACAGGGGCCGCAATTTATTCAATCCGATATTAATGGCGGCAGAAAATCGGTGTTTTCGTTTATGATATCCAACTAATTAGTTTCCCTTAGGTATTGTAAAATGTATTGAACACAATTGGTACAAAAAAAAAAAAAAAATAATTTTAAGCGCAATCGATGAACTGCGGTAGTAGATATACAACCGGCTGGACTCCGTGCGTAACGATGGATAAATAATTACGAAAACCAATTCGTTTTGAATTTCATCGAATACAACAGACATTATGATGACCACGGTGACGGTGCAGGTTAGCAACGGTATACCCCGATATATACCCTGAAACGACCCGTGACGTGTAACGGCTGCCGCGGGGTCACGTACCTATTTATTATTCGTCCATATCCGCGTAGGTGGTCGCACTGCGATCGGTCGGAAGCGGTCGCGCGCGAGATTCGCGGACGAGGTCTACGGGACGATGACGACGACAGGGACGCGGGTGGCAAGGTGAAGGGCACACCATGGTGACGGGGGCGTCGGCGGCGAACACGCTACGCAATCGATCGCCGGCCATTTTATCGTCGTTACACGGCGGCGCCACCGGACTTGGACGCGCGTCCGGCCCGGCGCGTTTTTATTGGACGCCGCGACCAACGACGACACGTCCGCCGCGCCGCGAGTGCACCTAGCCGTCCGCGTCGCCGAACCGTTGCCAAGGGATACGCCGCTGCCGCTTTATTCACACTTGAAATATAAATCGCTCTCCTCGCGCCGCCGCATCCCTCCATCCGCGCTGTTTCCAACCCCATGCGCCGTTACGCCCGAAGCCGCGCTTTTTCACTCTCTCTCTCTCATTCTCGCCCACTCCAGCACAGCTATCTTCCCGCGATAGCAGCAACAGCGCCTGCCGCCACCACGCGACCTACACCGTTGTATTAACGTGCATCAACTACCCTCGCGCAACCACTCCACCCCGGTCGACGACCGAATATAAAAGACGCCTCGAGTATATATTTATACATATATACATTATACGGAGAAGAGGAAAGTAAAAATGCCATTTCTTCCCGGTTTGATA